CAGAATTCAACAAGATTTTCAAAGAAGAACTAATACCAATACTCATCAAATCATTCCACACAATAGAAACAGAAGGAACATTGCCAAACTCTCTTTATGAGGCTACAATTACCCAGACCACATAAAGACATTACTAAGAAAGAGAATTACAGACCAATCTCCCTTGTGAACATTGATGCAAAAATACTTAATAAAACACTGGCAAACTGAATCCAAAAACACATCAGGAAAACCATCCACTATGGTCAAGTCGACTTCATCCCAGAGATGCAGGGATGATTCAACATATGAAAGTCTATCAGTGTAATCCACCATATAAACAAACTGAAAAAAATGATCATCTCATTAGATGCTGAAAAAGCCTTTGATAAAATACAGTACTCCTTCATGATAAAGGTCTTGGAGAGAGCAGGGATACAAGAAACATACCTAACATAATAAAGGCAATATACAGCAAGCCAATAGCCAACATCAAACTAAATGGAGAGAAACTCAAAACGATCTCATGGATATCAGGAACAAGACAAGGCTGTCCAGTGTCTCCACATCTATTCAATATACTACTTGAAGTTCTAGCTAGAGCAATAAGACAACAAAAAGAGATCGAAGAGATACAAATTGGAGAAAAAGTCAAACTCTCACTATTTGCTGATGATATAATAGTTTACATAAGCAACCCCAAAAATTCTACCAAGGAACTTTTCAACTCATAAACATCATCAGTAATATAGCAGGACACAAGATTAACTCAAAAAAATCAGTAGCCCTCCTTTACACAGATGATAAATGGGCCAAGAAAAAAAATTAGAGAAACATCACCCTTCACAATAGCCACAAATAGCATAAAATATCTTTGAGTAACTCTAACCAAACAAGTGGAAGACTTGTATGACAAGAACTTTAAATCTTTGAGGAAAGAAATTGAGAAGATATTTGAAAATTGAAAGATCTCCTATGCTCTTTGGTAGGTAGAATTAGTATAGTAAAAATGGCAATCTTACCAAAAGCAATCTACAGATTCAATGCAATGTCCAGCAAAATTCTTCACAGACCTCGAATGAACAATACTCAACTTCATATGGAAAAGCAAAAAACCCAGGATAGCCAAAACAATCCTGTACATACAATAAAGGAACTTCTGGAGGCATCACAATCCCTGACTTCAAACTCTACTACAGAGCCTCAGTACTGAAAACAGCCTGGTATTGGCATAAGAACAGACAGGAGGACCAATAGAACCGAATCGAAGATATCAATCCACACACTGAAGATCACCTAATTTTTGACAAAGAAGCAAAAGACATAAAATGGAAAAAAGAAAGTATATTCAACAAATGGTGCTGGCATAACTGGATAGCAACATGTAGAAGAATGAAAATAGATCCATATCTATCACCATGCACAAAACTCAAGTCTAAACAGATTAAAGACCTCAACATAAAACCAACCACACTAAACCTAATAGAAGAGAAAGTGGGAAGTACTTTGAATGCATTGGCATAGGAGATCACTTTTAAAATATTACCCTGGTAGCACAGACATTGAGAGCAACAATTAATAAATGGGACCTTCTGAAACTGAGAAGCTTCTGTAAAGCAAAGGACACAGTCAACAAGACAAAACTGCTGCCTACAGAATGGGAAAAGATCTTGACCAACCCCACATTGAACAGAGGGCTGATCTCTAAAATATACAAAGAACTCAAGAAATTGGTCATCAAAAGTCCAAGTAATCCAATAAAAAAAGTGGAGTACAGACCTAAACAAAGAACTCTCAAAAGAGAAATCACAAATGGCTGAACAACACTTAAGGAAATGTTCAACATCCTTAGTCATCAGAGAAATGCAAATCAAAACAACTCTGAGATTCAATCTTATACCTGTAAGAATGGCCAAGATCAAAAACACTGATGACAACTTATGCTGGAGAGGATGTGGGGTAAAGGGAACACTTCTGCATTGCTGGTGGGAATGCAAGCTGGTGCAGCCCCTTTGATTATCAGTACGCTGATTTCTCAGAAAATTAAGGAACAACTTTTCTCAAGATCCAGCAATACCACTTTTGGGTATATACCCAAAGGATACTCAATCATACAAGAATATGTAATCAACCATGTTCATAGCAGCATTGTTTGTCATAGCCAGAACCTGGAAACAAACCTAAATGCCCCTCAACCAAAGAATGGATAAGGAAAATGTGGTACATTTACACAATGGAATACTACATAGCAGAGAAAAAAAATAATGGCATCTTGAAATTTGCAGGCAAATGGATGGATCTAGAAAACATCATATTGAGTGAGGTAACCCAGACCCAGACAGACAAATATCATATGTACTCATTCATAAGTGGCTTTTAGACATAAAGGAAAGAAAAATCAGCCTACAATTCACAATTCCAGAGAACCTAGACAACAATGAGCATACTGAGAGAGACGTACATGGATCTAAACTACATGTAACAGAAAACAACAAGATCTCCTGAGTGAATTGGGAACATGGGGACCATGAGAGAGGGTAGAGGGGGAGGGGATAAGAAGGGAGGAGAGCAGAGAAAAAGTATATACCTCAGTAAAAACAATAAAAAGGAAAAAAGTAGTATAAAAGAGTAAGATAGTCATAGATTAATGGAGTAAAGAAAAATAAGCTATGTAAAGATAGAATGTGCACAGAGAATCTGGATTATGTATATTATGTTTTCTTTTAATGTTTTGACTGCAGAGAGATGTTTCATTGTATGGGCTGCTAAGCTAAATAAACATATACTTTAAAAGTATCTTGATCTCGAAATTTGGGTGTAAGGATATGTTACTTTGGAAAAGAGGTTTTGCTTTTGTTTCCACAGAGGATAAGAACATGTGGATTCTTTCCAGACCAATGTGGGTCAATGGACCAAGATCTCCTGAAAGGTCTCTGTGAACCCACAAAGAAATTCTTTGCCCAACAAAAAGCAGGAAGCAGTTTGAAGAGAATTACACCAAATTCCCGAATATTGTTTATAAATGTTTGTTTACATTTAAAGGAGGATATGTTATAATAGAGATGAATATATTGCATTGGTATGGATCTTGATCTATTGGTACAAATTTAAGGTAGATTTGTTATACTATGTATATGTTTTCTTCATTAGATTTTCTATTATGGTTTTTATACTGTAACCACTTCCCAAATCCATACCATCATCTTTTTTGCATAGTTTCTCTTAAAACCCATCAAGTATAAATGATGGTTTCAACTTTCTTCACAACGATCCCAGTTATTGGGGTTTTGAATTGAAGGAAAAGGATCAGTACTCAGAAATGATATTGTCTCAAACTTATTACATTCCTGAGTTTTCCCCGTTGGACGATGTTTTCTTCCTGGTGAGGTCATCTTGTCTGGAAGCATGTCTTGCTGTCCTTTCCTCTAGACATCAACCTGCTGCCTGTCTTCTGAAGAAAGTTACAATGATCTCTTATGAGTCTTTATGATTATGATAATCTGGAATGAAGCGATTTAAGAAACAATTTCAAGATTTAAAGGGTGCACAGTACATGAATAAAGGTGATGCACCATAGCCAAAAGCATAAGTCAGAAGACAGTGTTCTATGAGAAGAGAAGACCCAGAACACTGGCACAAATGGATTGAATTAGATCTCAGGGCTCATGGAGAGAAAGAATGTGAAAGAAGATGAGATGACACTAAAGAACGGGAGCTGGCAGACTTGTTCTTAAGAGTGTGGAAGACCAAATAGTTTATGTTTTATGAACCACGTGGTTACTGTTGCAGTTATTCAGCTTTCCCATTGTAGAGGGAAAACCTAGACAATACCGAACTATAAGAATGTAGTTATTGCCGGGTGGTGGTGGCACACGCCTTTAATCCCAGCACTCAGGAGGCAGAGGCAGGCGAATCTCTGTGAGTTCGAGACCAGCCTGGTCTATAGAGAGAATTCCAGGACAGGCTCCAAAACCACAGAGAAACCCTGTCTCGAAAAACAAAACAAAACAAAAACAAAAACAAAAAAGAATGTAGTTATGGACTGGTTGTGGTGGTTTATGCCTTTAAACCCATCACCCAAAAGGAAAGGCAAGTAGATCTTTGTGAATTAGTGGCCAGCCTGGGCTACACAGTAAGTTGCATGCCAGTCTGTGCTACATAGAGACCAGTTTTCAAATGCAACAATAAAAAATGGTTGGCCAACTAAGGCTGTGACTTGCTGATCCTTGTTACTCTAACAAAGAATACTCTAAACAAATACAATACAGCACCTTGGTATTCAATGTGAAATGCCTTTAAAAAACAACTTTGGCCTTATTTGGAAAATTTTGAGATATACTGAATGACAGAACTCACTTGAAATCTACTGAATCAGATCCTGTATTTTAGGAAGATATCCAGGTGATTCAGTGTGTTATAGCATGACAAGCACTGATTCAGTATTACTTAAAACTATGTCTCCTTGGGCTAGTTGTAAATGTAAAAGTACATACAAAGAGCCTACAAAGCTAACTAGGATTTCAAAGAGAAGTTCTGGCTGGGCATGGTTGCTCATGCCTTTAATTCCAACATTTGGGAAGCAGAGGCAGGTGGATCTTTGTGAGTTCAAGACCAGTCTGGTCTATATATAGAGTTCCAGGCCAGCCACAACTACATTGTGACACTCTGTTTCAAAAAAAACAGTGGCTATATGTGCATTCTATCTTAACCTTTAAGAAAGAATGCTGCCTTTTGAGGCTAGCCTTGTCTACATAGCAAGTTCTGGGGCAACTAGGGCTGTATGGTGATATCTCAAAAATAATGATGATGACCGATAATTTTAAAAACAATGCACTCTTTTATTAGAAGAATGGTTAGCATATTTTTTTTTGTTTTGTTTTTCGAGACAGGGTTTCTCTGTGGTTTTGGAGCCTGTCCTGGAACTAGCTCTTGTAGATCAGGCTGGTCTCCAACTCACAGAGATCCGGCTGCCTCTGCCTCCCGAGTGCTGGGATTAAAGGCGTGCGCCACCACCGCCCGGCTGGTTAGCATATTTTTAAGTCTTGTCTCAACCACCTTTTCATTTTACTCTGAGACAGGGCTCACTGTGTGACTCTTTTTGGTTTGTAACTATATACTTCCTGATCCTAAGATTAAAGGTGTGGCAGCATGCCTAGCACTTACCTCTACATATTCAGATTTCATGAATACAAGCTTGAAGATTTAGTAATACAAGTTCGAAGAAGATCTATCTGTCTGTCTGACTGTCTATCTATCTGTCTGTCTGTCTATCTACCCATCTATCTCTCTGAACATTTTGCCTCCACATGCATATGTTGCCCACAGAGGCCAGCAGAGTGCATCTGCCACTGCCCTCCAGGAACTGGAGCAACTGATGGTTGTGAATTGCCATGTGGGTGCTAGAAACTGAACCTGGGTCCTCTGCAAGAGCAGCTACTGCTCTTAACTGCTGAGTCATTGCTCCAGCTCCTAGTTCAACTTTAATTTCAATAAAAAAAATTTCCATGATTGTTTTTGGTTTTTATTTTGTGTGTTCATTATGAAAATTTTAGCTTCAGTGAAGTATTTTATTGGAATTTCATAAGGAACTGATTCATGAAGGTCCAACATGCCACACATTAAAAAAAACACCACAAAATGATTCATAATACACTAGAAAGCCCAGTTTGATTTACTCCATTCTCTTTAGAAACTTGATAAAACACTAATAATCAATTTTTGTTTACTACCTGTGTCTATAATGATTATTCGCCAAGAGGATGAAAACTCCCATTTATGTTCTAAAATATTTAAGCTTTTTTCAATTCTGATCGGGTGCTTCCCAAAGAGGTTCAGCGAATCTTATCTCAGCTGTGAGAAGTAAATGAATTAAAGTATGCTAACTGTATTGAACAGTGCCCAGTGCCTGGCATGCACCTATTTACTGAGGCTCTGCTAGAGTCGATGTCTTATGTTAAGTGTTCTGCATGCAAATTCCTCATCTCAGTATGGATTAATTTTCAACAGATACTTTCATGTAATACATTTCCACAATACAGTAGCCTTTAATATCCCTATTTTAAGATTAAAACCATGAGGTTTAGACAAGTTAAATTAGTTGTTCAAAGTCACACAGTGCCATAGTAATGGCAGAGCTACGGTTTCCCAGAACTAAGCTCACAGTGTTAAGAAGAGTCTAGTGCCTAAAGCAGGCAGGGAGAAAATAAAGCTGAATGATATGTTTGGATCATACAAAAAAAGAGTCTTATATACAATTTTAAGGGTGTTGATTAGTCTAAAAACAATAGCAGGAAAGGACAGTTTTAGGTGGAGATGGTGATGTGTTAATCTTTACACCTTAAAAGAATTGCTGGGTATGGTACCACACTTCTGTAATCTCGGCACTTGCACTTGAGGGGCAGAGGCAGGAAGGTAATGAATTGAGGCCAACCTTGACTACATAATGAGTCTAAGGCCAGCTTTTTTTTTTTTAACACAAGATTCACTTCAAAATAAAATCATTTTGGGTACATTATTGGAAAATCACTTGGAGATAGTAATAATAGATACTGGAAACCCATTAGAACAATATAGCAGTGATCATCACTAAAGACAGAAAAGAACACAGATTTCGGAAATATTTAGGAGCTGGGATTTACAGGACTTGGTGATTGCCTGGATTGGGGGGTAAGAGTGACTCCCCAGTGTGAACTCTCTGGTGATGAGCAAGATGTGCGTGCTGCCTGAAGGTTTTCTTACACTCCTTACACTCATAGGGTCTCTCTCCTGTGTGGATTCTCTGATGCTGGGTAAGGGATCCACAGTAACTGAAGGCCTTCCCACAAATATTACATTCATAAGGCTTCTCTCCAGTATGCACTCTCTGGTGCTGAGTAAGAGACGAGTCATTGCAAAAAGCCTTCCCACACTTAATACATTCATAAGGTTTCTCCCCCGTGTGAACTCTTTGATGTTGAGCAAGATAGGCAATCTGGCTGAAGGCCTTCCTACATTCCTGGCATTTATAAGGTTTTTCACCTGTATGGATTCTCTGATGCTGAGCAAGGTGGGAATTTTGGCTGAAGGCTTTCCCACATTCCTTGCATTTGTAGGGTCTCTCCCCCGTGTGTATTCTCTGGTGCACAGTAAGGTATGCGCGAAGGCTGAAGGCTTTCCTACACACCCTGCACTCAAAAGGTTTCTCTCCCGTGTGAACTCTCTGGTGTTGAACAACAGATGACCTATTGCTAAAGGTTTTTCCACACTCAATACATTCATAGGGTTTCTCTCCAGTATGAACCCTCTGATGCTGAGCAAGGTAGGCAAACTGGCTGAAGGCCTTCCTGCACACCTTACACTCATACGGCTTTTCTCCAGTATGAACTCGCAGGTGTTGAACTAGATGCGCGTTCTGGCTGAACGCTTTCTGGCATTCCTTACATTCGTAGGGCTTCTCTCCGGTATGAATCCTGTGATGCTGAAGGAGGTTTGACCTCTGGCTGAAGGTTTTCCCACACTCCGTGCATGCGTAGGGCTTCTCTCCAGTGTGGGTTCTCTGATGGAGGGTGAGGGAGGAGCTCTGGCTGAAGACTTTCTCACAATTGCTGCATTTCAGAAGTTTCTTCTCTGTGTAGGTGCTCTTGGGCTTGTCAGTCTTCAAGCTTTTCTTGTGTGTGCCTTGTTTAAATGCACTCTTCTCTTTGGAGGTTGTCTGTCGTGTATGAGGCAATGTGTTCTGATAGAAACCTCCCCAGGATCTGTTATCAATCAGAGCTTCAAGAGCAATGGTCTCTTCCTTGAAATATGCTTTTAGATTTTCAGATTGTCTTTCAAAATGATGCTCATGGTCCCATTCTCCCATCAAACTGGGACAATCAAGGCCGATACTTCTAAGTTCCTCAATTATCTTTCTGGATGACTGTTCTTCATAAAGTTCCTGCTTTGGGATTAATCCTTCATTCACATTCATAGACTCCCGATCTAAAAGTAATAAAAAAGTGTCTTCTTTATTATATATCAAGAAAATATGATCATGAAAGAACATTTGTAAAGCGAAGTGTGTAAACTTAGTATCAAATAAAACCTCCAATGAACACTTATTCTCACAGTTCTGAAGTATATAACAAACTGAAAATTGGTCATAAGGATCTATGCGGAGTGGCTAAAATTTGAAAACCAGCAGCACGGCAAGCCACAGGGTGAAAAGGAACGGCTATAACCGGACTTGGCTGTAATTCTGGACACTAAAATAGTCTGCATTCCCACAATTGCTTCATCGAAGGACATTCATTGAAAAATAATTATCTGATTTGAGACGCTCTTGTGGAAGCTTCTGGTATCATGACCACTGCTTTCATGGATCTTATTTCCTTAGCAGAGATGAAAAGCAATCAGGGAACTTTAGTTGCATGTTAAATGTGTTGGAGGCCTCCAACATAAATGTACTAAGTGCTACAGAAAAAGGAAGGGTAGGCAGCCATGTATCTGTACAGAGTTCATCAAGGTCCTAAAATGACATTGACAATTGTCTATTTTACGTTTTACTTCATTATAACTTAAATTGTACAAAATAATCAACAGATAAAATTTTCTCTTACCTTGTTTAAAATTTTTATTACATTGTTAAACTTATTCTGCTGGGCAGTGATGGCACATGTGTTTAATCCCAGGACTCGAGGCAGAGGCAGGCAGATCTCTGAGTTCAAGGCCAGCCTGGTCTACAGAGCAAGTTATAGGACAACCAGGCCTAACACAGAGAAATCCTGTCTCAAAAAACAACAGAAAAAATTATTTTGTGTGTGTGTGTGTGTGTGTGTGTGTGTGTATGCGTGTTCTTCCAGAGGACCCAAAACTGGCTGCAAGCACCCAGGCTTACAACTGCCTGCAACTCCAGATGATCATGGTGTCTCTTCACAGCAAGAGGAAAGTAACTAAGGCATGCACGCATGTGTGCATACACACAAGCACACTTTAAAAATGAAATACTTTCTAGACTCCATATATGTGATAATGTCTCTTTATGTGAGTGATTCTTTAAAATAACACATAAAATTTAATTCTGTATCGTTTGATACTACAGTTACCCATCAAAATGTCTTCACAGAAAACAGACTGCGGACATAAAACACTGGCTGAGGCGGTGTGGGATGTGGGGTTGAGAGAGGGATTTACGATGACAGAATACTTGTCCTTCATGTTTCCTCAGTGTTTCCTGTCTGCAAATCCTTTCCGCACCACAAACCCAAGCTCTTATTCCTTTGTTCCCCAAATATTCTCCAGCTGCTTATCTTTGCTGCTGTTACAGACTGTCGTCTTCCCGCTGCCAGAGCCCCCTGACCTTCCTCTGGGTTTCCTTCTCGTCTGGGCATCTACAGCTCTATCACGTCTTTACTGCCGCCCGGCACTTGTTATTAGTGCACACGCGCAGCACTCTAGGACCCCGGGGTGGGGTGTGGGGAGGAGGCTGCTGCAGGTAACCATGTCTGAAGGGCAGCTGAGCAATGTTGGTGTTGATTAGCGGAATGAGAATGCGTGAACTGATAGAGAAGATGAGGCACTTGGGGAGAGACCACTGGTTGAGGTCACACCACACAGCAGAAAAGTCCACGGTACTTCAAACGCATTGTTATAGCGGTGACAAAACAAAGAGATGAAGTGACTGTCCTAGAATTTCACCACATGTGAGAACCAGAATTTGAACCTAGTACCTCATTTACTCTCGGTATGGCATTCATCAAATCAGGAAAAGACTATTTAAATCTAGACGCGAATAATGAAATGAGAAGCAACAGAAGTCGGAAAACAGATGGAATAAGTCATTAGGAAGAAGGGAAGCATGAGGGAGGAGAGAGCAAGGTTGGCCAGTGGGGAGAATATCCGGGAAAGCCCCACGTCTCTTTTAGGCCTAAAACATTTAGGAACATGCCACAAAAAAGAACCCAGTGATGCTTTCTTGAGTCTGATTCAGCTGTCACCTTCAAAGGTCTCTGCCTTTCTAGTCCGGCCCCCACTCACCTGTGGACAAACTGTCTGTCAGTTCGGTCTTCACCGTCCACGGCTCTTTTCCTTGTTCCAACAAGAGTATCACACTTGGCTTGGAAAAGCAAAGTCCTAAGCATGTGGAAAGAAATGACTTGGTTATGCCGAGAGCAGCCCATGGCGCACGTCTGGTACCAGCCACACCGCTGGGCAAGCCCCATGCCTAGGAGTACCGGCCATACCGCAGGGCAGGCCCCATGCCCAGGAGTTAGCAACCACAAAATGAATGCAATAGCAGTTTTCTTTCCTTTTGTTTGCTTTTGCTTTTTTTCTTATGGTATTTTGTTTGTTCATTTTGATTTTTGTTTTTGTGACTTTTTTTGTTGTTGCTGTTGGTAGGTTCTTGATTTGTTTGTTTTTCTTTCTTTTTTTGAATTCTCAGCTACTTCTCCAGGACCATTTCTGCCTGTGTGCCACCATGCTTCCTGCCATGATGTCAATGGAACCTCTGGAACTGTAAGCAATCACCAGTTAAATGCTTAGCTTTATAATAGCTGACTTGGACAGAGTGTCTCTTCATAGCAACAGAACAGTGACTGAAACAGGGCTTACATTTCTACATCTTAGTCCATCACTGAAGGAAGTCAGGGCAGAGACTCAAACAGAGCAGGATCCTGGAGGCGGGAGCTGATGCAGAGGCCATGGAGGGGTGCTGCTTACTGGCTTGCTCCACATGGCTTGTTTAGCCTGCTTTCTTATAGAACCCAGGACCATCAGCCCAGGGATGGTGCCACCCACATGGGATGCTCCTTCCCCCATCAATCACTAATTAAGAAAATGCCCTGCAGTCTGATCTTATAGAGACATTTTCTTAATTGAAGTTCCCTGCTTTCAGATAACTTTAGATTGTGTCAAGTTGACATAAAACTATTGCACATACTTACCCAGAGACACCAGGGTCCTGTAGTTCTCCAACATCACGTGGCTGTACAAATGCCTTTGAGAAGAATTCAGACAATCCCATTCCTCCCGGGAGAAGTCTACTGCCACATCTCTGAAGGTCACCATCTCCTGAAGTGAAAGAAATGAAAGGAAATGACCTCCTCCCTCACCACGTTCACCTCGCTTACCCAGCACTGGGATGGTGTGCTCTCTCTGAGATGACACCCCCAAAGACATCAGCCACGTTCCCTCTTGGGGCCCCTATAGCTCTCAGATCATTCCGAACAGTGCTCCAACATAGTGGGGACCTAGCAGAGTCATTGTGTCATGGCTGAACATTAGAATGAAACCGTCCTTTCTCACTATCTAACAACATGAGGATGTGATAGTTGGAGGTGCTTAGACCTGAAAGAAATCACAGTAGAGAACAGCAGTCGCTTCCTATGATCCACAGGTTGTTTTTCTGAGGGCGTTTCCCATCTGTTGCATGACTGTGGTCACAAGACTGGCCTGGCACCCTTGGAGCACCTTGAATTACTGGGTACTGCAAACAGAGCACAGCAAGGGCAAGCAGCACACAATAAGGGGTGTGGTGATTTTCCTCAGAGAACACACAGGTCAAAGGGACGTTGTTTGACACACACACAAAAAAAATGGCCTTTGTGTGGCAACCAATAATATGCTCTGAACGGCAGTTGGCGGTTCAGTCCATCAGAGGCTGGGCTTCCTTGCTGCCAGAGAGCCTAGACTGCACCCTGGAGTGAGTCTCCTTTCTTGATCCCCTTGAGCAACACAGAACAACACACCCACCTCAATTCCCTACTCCTCTAGCTATGCTCACTATAGTTACTTATAAGTTATGTGTGGGAGGGCTTTGCCTGCACATCACGTGAATGCAGTGTCCTCAGAGGCCACAAGAGGGTGTTGGATATCATGAGCGGCAATGTGGGTGTGGTCAGTCTCTGCAGGAGCAGAGAGTGCTCCTAACCACTGAGCCATCTCTCCAGCCCCAGATCAGAGGTGCTGGGTTTGAACTCAGAACTTTGCATGTGTGAAGCAAGGTTCTTCAGTAAGCTACATCCTCAGCTCTGTACTTTATTTTATTTTTTGTGACATAGTTTAATGTATCCCAGGCTGGTTTCAAATTCTGTGTAGCTGAAGATGACCTGGAACTCCTGATCCTTCTGCCCCAACTCTAAAGTGCTGGGATAACAAGTGTACACTATCACACCAGGTTCATTTGAGGTCCTGGGTTTAAGCTCAGGGATTAGTGCATGCTACGCAGACACTGGGCTACAACTCAGCCCTCTGCTTGCTTCATTTATTTCCTGTTCCCTCCCCTGATGACTAAAATGTAAGCACCACGAGTTCAGTGTGTTTTGCTCACTGCTCCATTCCCAGTGATGGGATGTTGGGGGCTGCAGACCCCTGGCCCCTTGACTTGCTTTGCCTCCTCAGACCCTTTGCCTGCTGGAGTGAACTGAGCAAAACAACTTGTTTACCTGTGCCTGCAGCTGCTCTGAGCACGAGACCCTGATGGCAGGGGAGTGGGTTCTGGTGAGGCCTGCAGCTGAAAGAACCCGAGAGCTGGGGTGTGGTTATCCCTATATAAGCTTCCCTGGAGCACAATAAAGTTGGCATTCTTGTTTCAAGGATGACCCGTGTCCCTGTGTCTCTGTCTGTCTGTGTGCATATGTTTTTAACTCTCTAGCCTGGTTCCTTGGTTCACATACCGTAGAGTGTAGAACAGATGCTGTGCTTTACAATGGAACAGAACTGGTACTCATGAGACATTCAAATACTCAATGGTCCAGCCAGACACATGCCTGTAATCCCAGTGCTTGGGAGGCAGAGGGAGGTGGATCTCTGTGAGTTCGAGGCCAGCCTGGTCTACAGAGTGAGTTCCAGGACAGACACCAAAGCTACACAGAGAAACCTTGAAGAACAAAACAACAAAAAACTAAATCAAACCAAATAATACTCCCTGGACCACTTGAATGAAGAAGGAAGGGTTGAATATTTCAAGAAGGCGATAAAAGATGGCCCACAGTTACGTGCTACAACTCGGAGAATTGTGCTAGACTGGGCAGAGTAAATAGTTTTTGTGTAGAGAAATAGAAGTTTCATTCATAATTTTGCTTGTCTCCGGAGCAGGGCAAAGTTCTTAAAACTCTGGAGCTAAGCTGGGATTCATTTGCACTCCAGTTTTCTTTATGTGACTGCTGCTGATGAACCAAATAAACGCTCCATGTATGTGTTCTCAAACAAAAGTTAATAGCTCACCAAAACAAAAGCTGTGTGACCTGTTGTCAAAGCAATAGACAAGGATGTGACTTGTTTCACATTTTGTATGGTGTGTGCGTGTGTGTGTGTGTGTGTGTGTGTGTGTGTGTAACATAGAATCAAACTAAGGGCTTTGTGAATTCTAAGCAGTATTCCACCACCACCTTCTTCATATTTGATTCAATTTTGTCCCCATAAAAACAAAATAAATTGGGTATGGTGGCGCATACTTTTAATCCCAGCACTCAGGTGGTAGAAGTACTATGATTTTGAGGCCAGTTTAGTCTACATATCCAGTTTCAAGACAGCAAGGACAACAATAAGGACCTTGTCTCAAAAAACAAAACAAAACAGTAAAACCAAGAAAACAACAACAACAACAACAGCAGCAACAACAGACCTGTCTCAAACCAGGCAGAACAGCACAGGCCTGAAATCCTAACACCCCAGGGGCAGAAACAAGACAGAAAGTTTATGGTCAGCCTGGGTACACAGAAAGACCTTATGTCAACACACCAAGGGCTAGACATGCAGCTCAAGGGGTACAGGACCCGCCCAGCACAGGAAAGGCACTGGCTGTGATGCCCAGCACAGGAAAGGCACTGGCTGTGATGCCCAGCACAGGAAAGGCACTGGCTGAAATGCTCAGCATTTAGGAGGCTGACACAGGAAAACTCCGAGTTCTAGGCTAGCCTGGGGCACATAAAAAGCCCATGTTTTTGTTGTTTAGGAAGAGAGGAAAAGAAATGGCCTCAGAAAGGAAAGGATTCTAGAGGCCCCAACATGCAGTAACAGTCCTTCTCTTATTTAAATACACGAGGTTATAAGGGAACTGCTCCCGTTCTGCTTCTGCCAACAGTTGGGTTGGTGAGGTACATATGCTCCCCAAGAAGTTTCCCTTAGTTTATATAAAACCATATAATAAGAAAGAAAGGGAAGCAGGGGTGGCTCAGCAGTGAGGAGCCCTTGTTGCTCTTGCAGAGGACCCAGGTTTGGTTCCCTGCACCTCCATGGAGCTCAGAGCTGTGAGTAAGTCCTGTTCTAGGGGACCCAACACCTTCTTCCAACACCTGGAGATACCACATGCACATGGCACACATACATACATGCAGACAAAACACGTATGTACATAAAACAAATTCATATCTAATAATGCACATATGACATTCATAGTTCTTCAAATCTTTTTAAGGATTTAATTGTGTGTCTATGTCTGTGTGTGTATACGAGTGCAGGTGCCTATGGAGGCCAGAAGAGGCTGTCACAAGCCTCTTAGAGCCAGAGTACTGGCAGTTGTGAGCTGCCTGACATGGATACCAGATTTAGGTCCTGAGCAAGAGCAGTATATGCTCTTAACCCCCGAGCCATCCTCCAGCCCTCACCCTCTTTTTCCCAGGTTGTTCATCTATATAATCAACAAAAATTATCGCAAGGTCAACTGCAGGCATAGCTCAGTGGTAAGAGTGCTTGCCTCCCTGTGCAAGGGCCTGGGTTTGAGCGACAGCATTGCAGTTTCAAAGAGGGCTTAAATCCCAAATTGGAAATTAATTTGACCCCTGACAAATGATGACAGTGTACTTGGCCTCTGTGCTTCCATGGTCTACACATGTAGAGTCAACCAACCATGATCAAAATATCAGGAGAAAGGCTCGAAAGCCACAGAGAAACCCTGTCTCGAGAAACCCTGTCTCGAAAAACCAAAAAAATAAAAAAAATCAAAATATCAGGAGAAGCTGGGCACGGCGTGTAACATCTGCAATCACTACACTCGGGAGGCTGAGGCAGGAGAATTTTAAGTTTAAGGAGTCAATCACGGTCAGAGAGAGGGGGTGAAACACAAAAGGAGCAGGAAGAACGGAAGTAGAGAGCCAAGCCAGGAGAATATAGCAGCTATCCACGTGAGAGATGTCAGTTCAGAACAGAACAGAAGTAGTGGCGGCAGCGGAAAGCTGGCTGATTCTAGCTATGATTCAAAGGCTGAACAAACCGCTCCGCGATGGAAGAGCAAGAGCTCCTGAGTTCACGTCCCCATTTTATCTGCAACCTACTCTGTTTATCATCAACAGCGGGAGAGTGGTCCTACTAAGCTGAGAATCAGACCGTGACACTCTCCCACTCGTGGATTTTACTCAGTTTGAAAGATGCTTGCATTTGAGGTGGTGAATATGCAACCTCGTGAACACATTCAGTAGGCAGTCAGAGATGAAAGTTGGGTTCAGGGATGCGATCTACTCAGGTGTGGTGGCGCACACCTTCAGTCACAGTCCTCAGAAGGCAGAGGCCGGTGGACCTCTGCGAATTCAAAGCCTGCCTGGTCTATGCAGAGCAACCCCTTATTGAAAGACCCTACAGACCCCCTCCTCAAAACCCGCAGCCAGCCTGCTCCCGTAAGAACATCCCATGTGCCTGAGAGAGCAGGAGATAGAGATAGGAAGACTGCAAGGCAAGATGTCAATAAGATAGGATATCAACAAAGCAGGTTAGCTATAAGATAGGAACAGGATGACTGTTGCCAGGCATCCATGCTGAGAGAGGAAACCATTCATGTCCCCGCCTCATTCCGATAACCATGCTTTTGCTTCTGTAAGCTTGCTTTTTGCTGACACCGTTGGTGAGAGAGGAAACCATTCATGCCCCCGCCTCATTCCGGTCAACCGATAACCACGCTTTTGCTTCTGTAAACTTGCTTTTTGCTCTTCCCTATAAAAAGACTTCCCCCCAGTCTGCAGGCGCGCAAGTCCTCCGAAAGACTTGCTGCCTGCAGGTACCTGTGTTTACTCAATAAACCTCTTGCTAATTGCATCCTGTGGCCTGGTCTCAGAGTGTACTGGTTCTGGGGTCTTCATCAGAGAGGAAAGGTCCTCTCTGAGGGTCTTTCACTTATGAAAATAAAAAGGTTTAGATATACAGTCTGGCAGCTGTGGGCATACACATACACATACTCATATACAAGCCATGAGACAAGATGACATTACCAAATCAGTGAGTGTGGATGAAGGAGGAAGAGGCCCGAGACTACATCCTGCGGTACCCAATGTCAACAGGAACTTAAAATTTGTTGATCTGTGAATGCTTGGAAGTAAATAGAATTAATCTGGCCTTTATCTTGTATGTGGGGGAATGGCATGCTAGGAAGAGGAAACCTATGTTCCCTCACACATTAAAAACGTATATAGTGCTACACACCTTTGATCCCAGCACTTGGGAGGCAGAGGCAGGCAGATCTCTATCGTGATTTCTTTTGCTGTTTACTATATAATAAAACTCCAGGACAAATATAAGAATAACCTTGAGACAAACACGACAACTGCAACACACACCGTCACTGTCCTCCCCACCCCCAGGCCAAAAGAGGCCCATGCCACTGCAGGCCTTTCTCCCCACTGGGGGACTCTGTGAACCCTGCCTCTTTTTTTTTTTTTTTTTTTTGGTTTTTTCGAGACAGGGTTTCTCTGTGGTTTTGGAGCCTGTCCTGGAACTAGCTCTTGTAGACCAGGCTGGTCTCGAACTCACAGAGATCCACCTGCCTCTGCCTCCCGAGTGCTGGGATTAAAGGCGTGCGCCACCACCGCCCGGCGAACCCTGCCTCTTGAATCAATGTCTGACTTCACTGAACATCAGACCACAACATTGACAAAATTACCACAACAGATCCCCATGAGTTCGAGGCCAGCCTGGTCTACAGAGTGCAGTCCAGGACAGCTACCTGTCTCAACCCCTCCCCACAGTGGATATAGGGGTGGGGAGGTGGGCCATAGTTAACAACATTGGTAAGCTCTTTTCAGAGGATCCAAATTCCGTTTCCAGCATCCAGGTCAGCGCAGCCCAGTGCCTGTCCCACCAGCACCAGAGGATCAGACTCCCTCTTCTGGGCTCTGCGGGAAGTGCCACACACCTGGCACACACTCATGGATAAACACACATACACTTAAAAAAAAAAACTATTGAAAAGGTCAAAAAATTTAAATTAAAAATGTTAAGGACGCGTGAGCTGACTGAAAGAATTTCCCACAGAGTGAAAGAAATTAGATGCAGTCAAACGAGCTAGCCAGGGATGGGAGTATTGGGAATCCCACCCAAGGGCTGTGGATGCCACCTGCTGGCTCCCGAAATGGGTTCAGGAAGAAAAGTTGATGCCTGTTCACTTTGAAAACAGGAAGGCAATGAAAGGGAGAACACACCACCTCACCTAACACACGATCTTGAGAAGCCAAGAGCCATTCTTTTTTTCCTCTCGACTCTTCTCTTAAGAACTGGCAAGCCCCGATAACTGAGATAGGGAAAGAACGTGAATAATAAGGTGTTCCTCTCAGCATCCTGAGTTACCTACCATTTTAGGAGTTTGTTCCCTCCTGCTGCAACCTTCCCTCCAATAACAGCACTGATGGAGACCTAGCAATTTATTTGCATCCAATATAATTCATGCCTAAATCCTTTCCAATTTGTTACTTGGGCAGCAAATACGAAGAGATTACAAACAAAGAGAAATACGATTGATTAAAGATACAGCTTGAATAAATAAGCCATTAAGATTAAATGAAGTTGCTGAACTTGACCATTCTTCTGCACAATAGGAGAGTGATTCAGAAACTTGGTAGCATGCTGTCACCACTTGACTAGCTTGACAAAAAAGACACTGGCTGACAGTCTCAAGACCCTCACATACCCAAAGTCTCAAAGACGACATTGCCAGCCACTGCCACACATATGCCACGGTTAAAGGCCCTGTGTGTAAACAGTATCAAATGTTCACCCTCTCCTACACTCCCAGTTCTCAAACATTCGGGTACCACAGGCTGGCATCATGAACAAGGTCTCAACGCTCTAGTCACAAAGAAGCTGCACGTCCGTGCACAAGGGATTAAAGAGAAAAGTATCAGATGTGGATTCACTCGCACCCCATCACAGAGTGGACTCGCACATCAGGTGACCGTGTCGCCGTACCATAGCCAAAACTGTCCTGTTCCGAGGGCCACCCAGAGTGCCTGATGACCGGTGTCCGAGAGACGCGCGCGGGCCACTCCCCGGCCCACTCCACTCCGGCAGAACCAACTGCGGTAAGATTCCCTTCCGTTTCTTCCTGGAAGGCTCTGGAATCTCCTCCAAACCCTCTGACCTTAGGTTGAGGGAATTTAGCCTCAGGGGGAAAGGGACGGGAAAGAAGAACCTCTGTTGCCTGGGATCCTGGAGGACACAAAGGGGCGACGGCCCAGCTACCGCTGGGGCCATTGGGAAATGTAGTTCGGACCGAAAGCGCAGCAGCACCAAGGTGTTTCACTGCACAGACAGGTTCAGTCCCAAAGTCTCTATCACTGGCTTTCCGCGGCCAAACCACATGCAGACATCCATGCAAGCAGAGCACCCATGCACATAAAATAAATTAAAGTATGTATTTATTTATTTTTACTTTGCATGCGTTTTTGCCTACCTTTATGAATGTTCGCCAGGAGTATGCCTGGTGCCAGGAGAGGCCAGAAGAGGGCATCGGTCCCCAGAGTGCTCTTAATTGCTGAGCCATTTCTCTAGTCCTTCCATAGATCTTTTTTGGGGGATGGAGCCCAGATCCTCAAGCACACCAGCAAGCACTTTGCCACTCAGCCATGCCCTCAGTATCTTTTTGATCGGACTCGACACTTCATTTGAACACATAGCATTTTTCTTCAGGAAAAAAATCCTTTCACAACTCACAACTGGGATTTTGAGAATAAATAGCAGACCTTCTGTGTCTTTGTGTATGTTTCTCTGAGTGTAACTGTGGAAAACAGGATGTGCTAGGTTAGGCATACATTTCTGTGATCACTGTGTGACAGTGTTCTCAGTATAATATTCGTGATGTTTAGATGTGCTATGATGAGAACAGGACGAGTGTGGCAGACGTTGAAGGTTTAAAACGATGGATATATTTTTGTGTATAGGATTCTCCTCTGTAGTGTCTGGTTAGAAGCCAGAAAACAAAAGTTAAAAAAAAAATAATAAGGAGTAGGGCTGGGCATTGTAGTGTACACCTTTAATATCAGTACCTAGAAGCAGAAGCAGGCTGATTTCTGTGAGCTTGAAGCCAGTCTGGTCCACAAAGCAAGCAACGGCAAATTCAAGAAGCTTCTATTAGACAAGGAAAAAAGAAGTAAACTATTGCTTAGAGTTCTACACTCTATGTGAAGTAAAATAATGTCGCTTAAATACGAAGATAAAGGAAATATGTACACTGTAATACCTGAAGCAAGGCCTGGAGAGATGACTTTGTAGTTAAGAGTACTTGCTGCTCTTGAAAAGGACCTGTCTTCAATTCCCGCAATCACATGGAGTGACTTACAACCACTTGTCACTCCAGTGCCAGGGAATCCCATGCCCTCTTCTGGTCTCTCCATGAACTGCATGCACCCGGTGTAGAGGTACCTGGAGGCAAAATACACAGAAAATAGAAATAAATAAACCTGGCCTGACAGTGGTGGCACAGGCCTTTAATCCCTGCACTCAGGAAGTGGAGGCAGGAGGATCTCTGTGAGTTTGAGGCTGTCCTGGTCAGCGAATTCCAGGAGAGCTAGGGTTACAAAGGGAGACCCTGTCTCAAAAACCCAGAGGGGGTTAGGGTTAAAAAAAAAAACAAAACACCTTGTGCATCAAAGGGTATTATCAATAAATGAAATATGGTGGAATATTATTTTAACTGGGCCGAGATGTGTTACATTTGTTTCTGCTTTGGAATATTATGTGAAGGTGTTTTACTTTTATTTCTGCTGCATTTAACAATGTAAGGCTGTGTTACATTTGTTTATACTTCATTTGTTAAATTATGAAAACATGTGTTGCTGTTTCTACCTTGCTTTCCTAAGGCACTTGATTATTGGTCTAATAAGAAGCTGAATGGCCGAGCCCGAAAAGGGATAGGTGGGGCTGGTGGGCAGAAAGAATAAGTAGGAGAAATGTAGGCTTGAGAAGAGAGGACAGAATGAGGGAGAAAGAGAGCGACTGGCCCGGGGCAGAAGTCAGGCAGCCATCAGCCAGACCTGGAGACAGTAGGGAAGTAAGCTATACAGAAAGAATATAAGGTAAAAAGCCACGAGGCCAAAGGTAGACAAAGTGAAACTAGTCAAGTTAAAAGAGCTAGCCAGGAACGAGCCTAAGGTAGGCCATGCATTTATAATGAATAATAAGTCACCGTGTCCTGATTGGGAGCAGGTTGGTCGCCTAAAGGTAAAAGCCTGCTACAATGAAAAGACAACTTACTCCTACAGCATGGGTGAGTGTATCTTATAAGGGTTTTTTTTTCAAGGTGCTTGTTTTGTGGTACTGGAGATGGATCCTGGGGTCTTCTGTACACAAGGGAAAGTACCACCCGAACGACACCCCCAACTCCTGTTAAGGGTTTAAATAAATATATAAAATAATATGAAAAACTCCAGCCAATAAGAAAATTACAACCAACTTAAAGAGAGCGGTGAATTTGAATAGACGTTTCTCCAAAGAAGATGTGCACTGCCCAGCAAGCAGCTGGAAAGTTGCCTGATCTGATTTGTAATTATATTACCAAAAAAATAAAAGGTGTGGACAGCAAGGGAAAAGATGTGGAGAGGAGGGTCAAGGTGCAAATGCAGTCTTGAAAGGCGCGGGACCTCAGGCCCTGCTCACAAGCCTCCTTTCTCCCCTTCCCATTTAACTCTGAAAATCTTGTCCGCGACGCTTCTTCCCAAGGGGTCCGCCTCTTTCTTGCTCCGCAGGGAGCCCAGCATTGACCTTGGCAAGTCAAAAGGCCCCGTAGTTAAAATGGAAGAGCCACAAGTTTCTCTTGCTAGAGATAAGGAGAATGACTCCCTTTCTAGCAAGCAAGAACTTTCTTCAAACCTCTGAGGGAATGGGGGCTTTTGTCTAAATGCCAGACCTTGAGAGAAAGGCTTTCTTGGACGACCAGCCACGTAGGAACTAAATAAACTCAACCGTGCTTCCTGTTTAGACCAGACTTCTTAACCCTGAGATTCTCAGCAGGAGCAGGGACTGCTTTTCCTTTAGGTGTGCGACAAATCTCAGGCCGCGAAGGCCTCTGGGAAATGTAGTGCGGAGCAAGAAAGCGGCGGACCCATTCTGATTCTTCTCAGTTGCAAGCCGCAGACCCGGGCTGTTAAAACCAGGCCGGAGGGAAGCCGCTGCCCCAAAGACGCTGGGCCGTCAGGGCCGGTGCAGGCCTAAGCCGATCCCTTTCCTGGAGCGGGGCGCCCTCACCTGGGCACTCTCCCGGTTCGCTCACCGGAGGCCAGACCCGCCGGGCGAGCCGCGGGGCCCTCTGGGAAGTGCTACCCAGCTTCTAACGGACCCAGGTTTGTGGCGCTTCTCCCCCGCCAGCCTTCGCTGCGCCGGCTCGTAGTCCCCCCGGGCTGTGAGCATTGGGCGGCGGTGGGATGTGGGATCGCAGCCGGTGACCGGGCTCGGCGGTGATTCCCGGGAAGCCGTTAGCCCGGAGGCCGGCAGTCTTTGTGCTGGGTGGGAGTGGGGCCCTGTGGAGCCGGGTCCTGTGGAGGAGGCGATGCCGGCCGTTTGCAGCGGCCATGGCCTGGGCGTGATGTGGCTGCAATTTGCTCGTTATCCTTTATGTGCCTTTACGAACATGGGTGCACATGTGCATGACTGAGGTAACGAATGAAAGAGAAACTCTGTGGGTGGAAGTTAGGTAGGAAGAGTTGTGTGTGTAGATGTGTGGAGACCATGTTTGCTCCATTTAGTCGTTTATAGTAATGGAAAATGCGTTTCTGCACGAAATATTAGTAGCCCCAACGCCTGAGTATTTGACGATTTATTTTCATGTATTGACAAGCTTTTTGTGTTATTCGCCTTGCTGCCCCCACTCCATTCCCCAAATATCAAGATACAGAAAAGCCCTTCCTCAAATATCAAGATGCAGAAAAGCCCAAAGAACAAAAAATTATTCAGTTCTACTAGGCACATAGGTCCTGTTAAATTTAGGTTTTTACACTCCGTGAATATAAACACTTGCATTATGTGCTCATATAACAAGCATGGTGGCTTAAAAGAGCAAGCGCATATATACAGTTCCGTAGCCCAAGTTTCATTTAATAATATGTTGTTAACCTAGCGACATCAACAATTTCAAATGGCTACTGTTTCCATTTTCCTTGGTATACATATATACAGCTGTCTCCCGAATAATTTGTGTCTTCTCACCCTCTTGAAGTTATAAACCAAGTTCATGAAGAACTGTTTGGCAATGCTCCAATGTATCTTCTTCCTCCCTCCCATGCTCGGGTAGGCTTTTCGAAGTAGAATTGGTACGGTAATAATCCTCATTAAAGTCTCCCTCAATCTAAACTTTTCTTCCCAATGCAAGGTTCTAACATCCTACAATATTACTAAAATAATAGATTCATCCCTATCATTTCAGTAATATTGGAATAGAGATACACTCCAGATAGCAATACATGCTATAAGTGATGGTAATCTTTATTAACTTTGTAGTTATAAAATACAATTTTAATCCCAGCACTCAGGACGCAGAGGCAGGCAGATCTCTGTGAGTTTGAGGCCAGCCTGGTCTACAAGAGCTAGTTCCAGGACAGGCACCAAAGCTACACAGAAAAACCCTGTCTCGAAAAACAAACAAAAACTCAAATTGAGTTTGCAGTACTTGTTACCAAAATCAAGCATTTTGTGATTTGTTTTTCTAAAGTAATGTTTTATTTTCTGCTTTTGTTTCCAGAGTTCTTCCTCTGCTGAAAATCCTTTTAGAAACTGAAAATTGATTGAATGTTGGACACCTATCAGTCACAGTTTTTGGTGCTTGGGATAGAGCAGTGAAGAGAAGAACCAGCCCCTCAGCTACCATGATACTCACATCACTGTGGACCAGATAATAAACAAAGTAAGTGAACCAAAATATCAGATGCTGAAAAACACTAAGAAAAGAGTCAAAATAGGAGGATCTTTAGAATCAGATATTTAGTTTTAGATGATGAGGCCAGGGAGGGGATGTTGAAAGGAATGATGAGGAGATGATGGGAGGAAAGGAGGTGGGGACCCTCACAGTCGAGGAAGGATCGCTGCATACAGGAGCCGTGAGGAGATGATGGGAGGAAAGGAGATGGGGACCCTCACAGCCGAGGAAGGATCTCTGCATACAGGAGCCTCGAGGAGATGATGGGAGGAAAGGAGGTGGGGACCAGTA